ATGTAATTTTAATGTTTAAATTTTAGCCAAACTAATCATACAAATGAGCTGACATAGACTTTAGAAATATTTAGTCATACAGTAAATAAATTAACAACATTTATAGCAATTTAATAATAACCACACTTTTATACGTTTACATTGCGTTTACAGGATTACTGTTACATCATCATTACACATTACTGTATAACATTGAATTGATCTCGTTTAAAGTGATTATTAATATTACCACAATCAACATTTGAATTGTGATTATCAACTATAATGGACCAAGAGGGACCCAGGGCGATTTTTAACGAGAAATTTCATGAATTCATTAAGGGAGTTCAACTAAACGACCAGTTTATGGACCAGCTCAAAGAACACCCATGCAAGTATTTACTACAAAGTATAGAGGTTTGTAAATAGATTATTTTTAATAATAAATAGTATAATTATAAATATGTAAGTTAAAAGTTAATTATGTACATTTAGTAATTAAATATAATAAAAAATTCTAACGAATTGTAAGTAAAAATACACTTGAATTGCATAATTCATACAGTATTGCACATTAAATATTGTGTGGGGTTAGTTTCTATAACTCTCATTATCTACATTGTTTATTTACTATTAAAATATAGATAAATCTACAATTAATTAGCAAAATTTAATAAAATAAACATATCATGTTCACTTTATGATAAATAATAATAAGCAAACATTAAATAAACGCTAATTTGAACAAATTAATAAAGTTATTTTACCAACATAATTATTTTTAAATACTAATTAAACAAATTATAAAATTTAAAAATGTCAACATTGCAAAATATAAAATAATAAAACATTATTATAACAATATTAGAATTTCGACGACGTGGCCAAAAAATGTCGCATATTCAGCGAGTTCACTTTGGTCCGGGACAACACCGAACAACTGGCCGTAGCCCTCGAGCTATCTGGCCAAAAGCAAGCGGCCGATCAATTGCGCCTATTCAACCTATCGGAACGACCATGGCCATATTCCCACAATATCAACCTAACTGTAGTACCCGCCCGAGCCCTGCGCTCAGACACATCCAAGCAGTGCAAAATGGAGACCAAACCCCGCGGTGTGGCCCTAGTATTTGTCACTATACCCGAGCTGTACAACGAGGCCGAACGATTCAGGTCAATTTACGAACAGTTAGAATTCACAGCCTACCTACATCAAGGATTTAGTCGAGATGAAATATTTGCCGAATTGACCGATATGGCCCAATCCAAGGGCAAGTATGCGGGCAAATACAAGGGCGACGCGTTTATCATGATGTTTATCGGTCACGGATTTAATGAGAGTATCATCGGGTGGTCAGCGCAGCCGCAGTGGCCGCCGGCTGACGACACTGTGCTGCCAATCCGCGACATAATGACCATGTTTTCCGAGACCGGAAAGTGCCGGGCGTTACGCGAAAAGATCAAGATCTTTATTTTTAACTGTTGTCGCGAAAGTATGTTCATTATATTATTACTCAACATAATTAATAACTTAATCACCATGACACACACACACAATAATGTACATAGTTATTATNTCTCTCTCTCTCTCTCTCTCTCTCTCTTTCTCTCTCTCTTCCCGCCAGCATTAAAAGTGGGAAATATTTCAAAACTAAAGGCGCCACCACTTTATTTCAATGCCATTAACATTGAGCTAATCAATTACGGTATACAGAATATCAGCAGTATTTTCTATGCTATAACTATATGTATAGCATTTATTAAAATTATTTATTTGATTTTGATTAAAATTATAAAAATAAATGAATTTAGTAACGTATTGATGTTTATATGGCAAAATTAAAATATATCGATTAGCATGATCAGTATTTGATTGAAAAAGCTGTTTTACAAATATGGTATTTTTGTAAACCTGTGCCAAACTCATGATATTTTTGTTTATGTCTAGCGTTTGTCACGTAAACCCCGGATGAGAGGAACATTTTACCGTAATACCTGGCTTAGTAGTGCATGCAATACTAAGTCAATTTCAGTAAAATCGTGTTTTTCAAAATCATATGCAATCTTACCTAGATAGTATTGCACCCCTTTACTGATATTGACTTAGTATTGCATGCATTTCTAAGCCAGGTATTACGGTATTTTGTTTGATTTTTAGTGTTTTTAGTGAATTTATTTTACAATTAATGGTTGTTATAATTCATACATGTAATAATTAAATAGAATATAAAAGTTTTACCTAAATAAATAATTTCTCTCTCTCTCTCTCTCTCTCTCAATGTATTTTTATTCATTATTTAGAGCATCATTATTATTAAATTATTGCACTTTTATTATTAATATAAAATTCACTATAATTTGACCCAGATTATAAAGTTTATGCTTATTTAAATAAAATAGTTATTTAATTGCAAAATTATAGGATCTGTGATAATTATATAAATAAAACAAATACTTCAATTTTATTTATACAGTATTTTGCACATAATTAAAGTTTTAGTTAATTTTTTAAATACATAATATTTGAATTGCTATACATTCAGATAATAAAACTCTCTAAATGTTTAATATAAAACATGTTAGAACATTTATAAAACATTTGATAAAACTGGTCCTGTGCAAAAATATACAATATAATACGGCTCGTTGAGCTCATTTATAATAATATCAATTGAATTGTAAATAAATTATTAGACCCATAATGCTTTACTTTATCAATTTAATCATCATGGTCATCTCTAAATAGACCAGGGTTAAAGAACACATCTTTATCCACGGCAAACATTCTGATTTCCGGCCGACGCACGGGGTCTCCCATTTCCTCCAACTCCTCCTGCGATGGGTTAGTCTTAAAAATCGCCACAAAATTAATTAATTAATTATTATTTATTGTTATATATTATGAACTATAACTTTTAATTAAATAATTATATTTTAAAATATAACGTACTTTAAGAAACTCTTGATATATTCTCTCCGATTCTTCCTCCGATCGTTTAACGGTCTTAGAAATTAATTATAAATTAAAATTAATTAATTGTTATAAAATTGTTTATAAAATCATATTGATAATACTGACCATACAAATGAGCTGATACAGGCTTTTATACCCCGCATACTGGGCTATGGTATGGCTGAACGCCTGACCGAATACACTCGCGTGACCGATGGCAGTGCCGGGGAATTCTTGGAACCAGGCGTTTGACCCTAACATAAAAATTAATAAAAACACTTTAATTTGTATTATATTGTAATATATTATATCCTAGCACATCTCATTTAAAGGTATTTAAAATTATAAAATTTCTAACATAATAATTTTTTTTCAAACACACAGAACTGCATAAACTGTTTTATGATTTATTCTAAATTAAATAGCACATACCCTCAGCACACGCGTATATCACGTGCGTTTGTTTGTTTTGTTGTTTCCAGGTAGGATCTAGTGTGGCCAATGTATCCACCTTGGTCGTTTCGCCTGTTGGTCCCTGGCACTTTGCACATAAACCACCGGTGTTTATGGGTGGAGCACCCGATAACTGTACATCCGCTTCGTCTAATTCTTTATAGTTTTTAAAAAATAAATGTATTAAATTTTAATAATTAAAATATACACCTATGTACATTTTTGTTATTTGTCATAATGTGCCATAGTCCATGATCATTATTACTTAATATACATTATTATAGAGTACAGTAGTAAATATACACATACTTTCGCGACAACAGTTGAATATAAACATCTTGGTCTTTTGGCGAAGCGCGCGACACTTTTTCTCGCTAAACATGTCCACTATATCCCTGATAGGAAGTACAGTGTCATCTGCGGGCGGCCACTGCGGCTGCTCTAACCACCCGATAATCTTCTCGTCAACGCCGTGACCGATAAACATCATGATAAACGCGTCGCCCTTGTATTTGCCCGCATACTTGCCCTTGGATTGGGCCATCATGGTCAATTCGGCAAAAATTGCATCTCGGCTAAATCTTTGGTGCAAGTAGGTTTTGAATTCTAATTGTTCATAAATTGACCTGAATCGTTCGCCCTCATGCTCCAGTCTAGGTTCGGTGACAAATACTAGGGCCACACCGCGGGGTCGGGACTCCATTTTGGCCTCTTTGGATGTGTTGGACCGCAGGGCTCAGGCGCGTACGACATCCAGGTTAATATTGTAGGAATACGGCCATGGTCGTTCTGATAGATTGAATTCGCGCAATTGGTTGGCTGCCTGCTGTTGGCCCGACTGTTCCAGGGCTACGGCCAGCAGTTCGGTGTTGTTGCGGACCAAAGTGAACTCGCTGAATATGCGACATTTTTTACTAAGGTCGTCCGGGAAATTCTAATAATGGTAGATTTGTTGTAAAGTTTTAGGTTAGTTATTTTATAATTTGCAATGTTGACATATGGAATAGTTTTTTGCTTTATTATTTGTTGTTTAATATTTTTATTGTTTAATAATTTAAGTTTGTTTAAATGATTATGTTTTGTGAAATATGTTATTTTTCAATTAAATGTTTATTTAGTGTTTGCTAATTAGTATTTGAGCATAAAGTGAAAATGATAATTTTATTTTATTAGATATTGCCAATTAATTGTATATTTATCTATATTTTAAAAATAAATAAACATTATAGATATGGATACCAAGTTACATAATGTTAAATATTCATTACGCCGTATTGAATAAGCCTTATTCAATAAGGTGTACATTATATTATACAAGTGCTTTTTATTTTAAATCTATTATTGTAGTTAATTACTAAATTTACATGATTAATTGTAAATTGACACATTTATTATTAAATTGTTTATAATTAAAAATAATCTATTTACAAACCTCTAAACTTGGTAGTAAATAATTGCATGGGTGTTCACTGAGCTGGTTCATAAATTGCTCATTTAATTCAACGCCTGTGATAAATCCATAAAATGCCCCGTTAAAAACCACCCTGGGTCCCTCCTGGTCCATGATAGTTGTTAATTGACTTATACAATTCAAATAATGATTGTGGTAATATTAATAATCACTTTACACGAGATCAATTAACTGTAATACTGTTAGGTCATTTAAGTAAACGTTATGTAAACGTACTGTATATAAATTTGTGTTTTATTTTTGTTTCCCTTTCACAATCTCACACCCTATCATAATGTCTGGTTATTTATTATATAATTTATGCCATTTACATAGAATTAATCGGTATATAAACATAATCTCTATTCGGTATACATGT